ATAAAGCATTTAAAAAAATAGCAACAAATTATTCTTACCAATAAGGTTTATAGATATGAAGGACATTTACCTCAAATTCAATTCAAGTTTTTAGATCAACTTTTAAAATCCAAATTTTATAAATTTGTTGTCGAAATATTAGCACAAGTTTGAAACAGGAAAAGGTTTACACTAAAGATATAGAGATTAGATCATTTTAGTTTGGGGCAGGATTTACCTTCCCGTTCCCTTTATATAATAATACCAAAAACCATTTTTTATTCAAGATTTTTGACTGATTTCGTACACGATCTGTTGTTATGAAAATGAATAAATTTTTGCAACTCAATGTCGTAGACCTTTCACATTTTAAACTATGAATTCGAATAGATTTAATAATCTAAATTTGAAATAGCAAAGCTTTTCACCATCAGGTTAAAATAAAGTGATCAGAAAATTGGAGTTAGTGGCAATAACTCAATTCCTTACTAGAAAATTCGTTCAAATTTTCCTTATTCAAACCCAGGTATTGTTTTCAGGTCTGATGGAACCTATGCAGTACCCCTGGACGATGACTGGCCGGACTGCGACATCAAAACGACGACAGCAAAACCACGTAAACATTAGACTTCTAGTATATCCTGAAACAAAATTGTTTTGTTCTGAATCTTAGGATTAAGAAATGATATCCATCTTATGCAGATTAGGATTAATTTAATTCCCCCCTACCCTATAGGAATTCCCCCTTTCCCTGTAGGGATAATTTTATTTTAATGTTTTTTTCAGCAATCAGAAATGCAGTGAAGCTAGGGATAAAGTTAATGGACGATGAACTAACAAACAATGTTATCTGGCAGGATTATCTCCTTGCGCAGAGTGCTGGAGATATTCAGGTTAGTCAACCTTTCTGGGTTCAGGAGATATTCAGGTTAGTCAACATTTCTAGAGTTCCGGAGATATTCAGGTTAGTCAACATTTATAGAGTTCAGGAGATATTCAGGTTAGTCAACATTTCTGGGTTCAGGAGATATTCAGGTTAGACAACATTTATAGAGTCCTGGAGATATTCAGGTTAGTCAACATTTATAGAGTTCAGGAGATATTCAGAGCAGTCAAAATTTATAGAGTTCAGGAGATATCCAGGTTAGTCAACATTTATAGAGTTCAGGAGATATTCAGGTTAGTCAACATTTATAGAGTTCAGGAGATATTCAGGTTAGTCAACATTTATAGAGTTCAGGAGATATTCATGTTAGTCAATATTTATGAAGTTCATGAGATATTCAGGTTAGTCAACATTTATACAGTGCTGGAGATATTCAGGTTAATCAACATTTATAGAGTTCATGAGATATTCAGGTTAGTCAACATTTATAGAGTTCATGAGATATTCAGGTTAGTCAACATTTATAGAGTTCAGGAGATATTTAGGTTAGTCAACATTTCTGGGTTCATTAGATATTCAGGTTAGTCAAAATTTATAGAGTTCAGGAGATATTTAGGTTAGTCAACATTTATAGAGTTCAGGAGATATTCAGGTTATTCAACATTTATAGAGTTCAGGAGATATTCAGGTTATTCAACATTTATAGAGTTCAGGAGATATTCAGGTTATTCAACATTTATAGAGCTCAGGAGATATTTAGGTTAGTCAACATTTATAGAGTTCAGGAGATATTCAGGTTAGTCAAAATTTATAGAGTTCAGGAGATATTTAGGTTAGTCAACATTTATAGAGTTCAGGAGATATTTAGGTTAGTCAACATTTATAAAGTTCAGGAGATATTCAGGTTAGTCAATATTTATGAAGTTCAGTAGATTTAGGACCGTAGTTCGTCAATATTTATGAAGTTCAGTAGATTTAGGACCGTAGTTCGTCAATATTTAAACATACGGAGTTATCTTTCTTTAATTTTCTATGTAAAACGCTTATATCAACAGAAAAGTAAATTTAAATTTATAAAAATTGTCTAAACAGAGAATTAAGAACGCACTAGAATACACATTTATCCCTAAAACCATGAAAAGTTGGAAATCCTGAAATGTTAGAAAGTAATTCCAAATAATGTATTTTTGTAAACTAATCTTTAGAATCTATTCTGGAAAGTTACAGTTCCTTTCAGCATTATTTTACTTTTATTCTTGGCTGGTTGCCTACTCTTCACTCGACATGACAGCTTATTTTGTCAGGTCAAAATAAAATTTAGAGAACATATACGCTATGTGCCTGTCTTGAAGGTAGTATCTGGGTATAAAAGTATATACGCTGTTTGCCTGTCTTGAAGGTAGTATCTGGTTATGCAACCGTGATTATGAGATTAAACAAATGCAGAACTACGGCCATTCAGATTATGTTTACAAGGGATAAAAATATCAAATCGCAAAAATAAACAAAAAATAAAACCTTAAATACTTTAAATTTTGTTTCTCTGAAATCCTTTGTTATGACACAATTTAAATAAATTATCTAAGGATGTTTACCAAGGGTGTTCCATTGTCACAAACAATTTAGATGTTTCATTCACAATTGGTGTTTTTACCCGTTCAAAAAAGTCCCCTTAGCACAAAAATACAAAAAATGATGGTGAATCTCGAACAGCTTATGTAAATCTTAAATGTTTGACGGGAAAAAAGGGTGAAAAAATGTCATATTATCTTTTTTATTTTAATTAAAAAATACTGTAAAATAGTAGAAAACACAAAATACAAGAAAATATTTGTTTTTCCTATATTTTCAAATAATAATTTGTTATTGTAAAGATAAAAGAACCTTCATATACCTTTTACCAGTTCTATAAGATTAAATATTTTTAAAATATTTTTAAAACTGATGCAAATTTAGTTTTTTTATGATTTTTTTTATTTTTACATAAAGCTGAAACAGTTATCTGATTTTTTGCTATATATAGACTTAGGGGACATATTAGAATATGAGAAAACACCAAGATAACCTATTTTTTATGTTGACCTGACAATTTACACTACTGTGATACTAATTAGAGATTATTAATTGAAATAAATATAAAGCTACTTTTTATATCATTGTTACTGAGATATAGACAACTCTGATTCTTAGTCATCACATTTTAAGACAGCCTCACCAACTCACTTATCTTTTTGTAACCCTAAACACATATATATTAAAAGTTAATTTCAAAAGGAGTAATTGGCTATATCCTGCTAGATTTTTGTGTAAGAGCGTGGACGACGGACGTCTTGGTTTGCAGTGTTGTATTATGTTGACCGCCATTTGGGATGAACTAACACAATCATGTCAGCAGAGTCCGCGATTTAAAAGCTTCGGCTTTTTAATCCTTAGACCTAGGTTTAAGGCTCAATCTTCAACCCGACTTATGAATCAGTTAACGACAGCTTGTGTGCCGGGATCGACTGCTGCTAGCTCTTAGACTCAACTTAAGGAGTTAGGCCCAATGAAAACCGCCCAATACAATATTAAACCTTGTCAATTCACTCCTTTCTCTTCTAAACCTTCTTTATCTACCCCCTTCTCATTGGAACCTTGTCAATTCACTACCTCCCTTCTAAACCTTGTTAATCCACTCCCTTGCCTTCTAAACCTTGTCAATCTACTCCCTCCTTTCTAAACCTTGTCAATTCACTCCCTCCCCTTGTAAACCTTGCTAATCCACTCCCTTCCCTTCAAAACCTTGTCAATCTACTCATTTGAACCTTGTCAATTCACTCCCTCCCCTTCTAAACCTTGTTAATCCACTCCCTCCTCATTTGAACCTTGTCAATTCACTCCCTTCCCTCCTGAACCTTGCAATCCACTCCCTTCCCTCCTAAACCTTGCAATCCACGTACTCCATCCTTTTTTAAACCTTTTCACTTCACTCCCTCTCTTTTAACCTTTTAACTCCCTTCTTACCACTACACTTCAAACCCCCTCTTTCTAAAGCTCCCATCCCCTACCCCCCC